CTGTTATCTTTGGCAGCCGTATTTCACATATCGATCCATTTACTTGTATGTAAACACGTTTGTGTTTGCATTCCCGTCTTTCACGTTACACGACCCGTGGTAATCCGGGGCTGGGACACGCCGAGGTGAAATGGGCTTCACATATTGCATTGTTTCACATATTGGTTTCACATAATTAGTTTCACGCGTTGGTTTCACGTAAAGGAGACAGAAGGTCAAATAGAAAATGCATCCTCTTTTTTTTCTTTTTACTTTTTCTGGTTTGTGCTACAGTCATTATATAGAGTCGACCTACATAAGTTGCCACATCACCGGCGTGTTCAGGATTTAAGAAAGCTATTATGAACTGATATAAATAAAAATGATAATAAAGAATTAAAGGAAGCGGTGGGTGGATGGGGGAGGGGATATGGGAACTTCCAAATTCCAAATTTGCAATCGCTCAAACGATGATGTAAGTTTTTAATAAAAGAAGTGATTCGTTTTTTTTTTTAATTTTCCTAGACGTACGTTTTCTTTGTAACATGTCGAACTTGCCAAGCTGATGATATGTATATCGAGAATGAAGATGCGCCTACGGACACTGACAGGGGCAAAACCTTGGATTATTAAAAGGAAAAGAAAGGGGGTTATTCCCCCTCCGCTTCCCCGCAGCTCTGCTCCTCTTCATTTTCTTGGGTGCAAATAAAAGTTGTGAAAAAGTGTTTAAAAAATAGGTTGAGGTAACTCGCAGTAACTACTGAAAAAGTAAATTAACATGCTTCAATGGACTTTGAAAGGACCCTTCAGCTGGTCATAGTGACCCAGACATTCCTACCTGGTGAGACCATGTACTACACATCTTTGCTAGACAGGCAAGATAAGTTTTATGGAGATAAATTACTTCAGGTTGGATTCACATGTCAAAGCCAAGCTTATAATCGCATGAGTAGGTCAACGATAACGCTCGGTGGAGTCAGTCTCTGAAGCGTTGTCATGGACAGTCCGCGTGCATGCACAATGGTCACGCTATCGCAAGTGTAGGCCTACGAGTCTGAGGCTTACGTTTGGGTAACTAATGTTTTCAAGAAGATATATATATATATTTTTTTTTCTTCTGTTTACATGTGTTTCAAAATGCACTTTAATAGCTAAATAATAAAATTTAAAATAAAAGGAAATTAAATTTAAAATAGAATAAAACGAATTTGAATGAAATGAAATCAAAACAAAACAAATCAAAAATAAGATAAAATAAGATCAACTAAAAAGTAAGATAAAATAAATTAAATAAAAAGTGTTTATTTTTTCACGTAACATAAACCCTGCATTTCTTTAGTCACCTTGTCAACCACTTATTTAAGAGTATATAACTTTTAAAACATTGGGTTCACTTTGTCTTGTTTTACTTGCGTTTGCTGTTATGAGCACTTTTGTTTTGCATCTTTATGGCGCGCGATAGATATGACGATGAAGTCAACGAAAAGTTATGTGAAAAGCAAATCCCCAAAAGTACCAGGTATTAGAAACTCTTAGGTATTGTAACACATATTTATGTGGACTACATAATCAATGCATGAAAGCATTTTTGATTATACAAATGACTTAGTTGCGTTGCTTTAACAAAACCGTAACAGAATCTGAAACTAGTTCAGAAAACCAAAATTGCAGAGAGAGTTTCTTCGTCTTGACTCTAGACGCGATTTTTGTTTTTTTTTTAAACAAGACCAATGATGAACAATTGTTCTATCTTAACTAGATACCCTCGGGAAGAACAGAGAAAAGGGCTAATGACGTTTTTATTTGTGAGCTGTGTCGTAGTTTTTCTGTTGTTATGTAACTCAAGTTAACATTTTTTAATAACTCATTTATTACATAACACATCCAGCCATGCTGGCTAACTGGTAGAGAGAGAACAATGCATTATGGGAGATATGTTAATTACATTACAATATGCAACATCTCCCTTTTTTTTTTAATAAAAATAAATCCTGGAATTATTATTTTTT